GAAATACAGGCTTTGTTTGGTTTGTTTTTGAGAAATAAATTTTGGAGAATTTTTTTAAAAATTTTGTTTGGTTGAGTAATTTTGAAGAAATACAGGCTTCGTTTGGTTTGTTTTCCAACAAGACTCCCAGAAACCCAAGGATCCAATTAACATCCTAGAAATCAAATCCCATACCCACATAGTCAAATAAGCATGTTATCAATCTAAACACATAGCATATGACACTACACCTAAGTCTCTCTCAAGCGAGACAAACCCATTGTGATCCTAATCACTTCCCACGTACCCAAAGTATTTGAACTCGGTACGCTCTGATACCAAGTTGTAACACCCTCAAAATAATAACATTAAACCCATCAATATTGACATGCATTGATATATAAAAGATCAACCTCCTTCCATTTATCAGAGTAATTCCTTACAAACAGTATTACATGTTGACAACAAAAGTAAATGCCCCATGGGCTTACAACTTTCCAAGCCAACACTTGGTTACAAGAAATGAGTACTAACTCAGATACACATTAAGCTCTAGGCTTGAATTTACATGTAATACATCAAAAGAAACAAACATCTTAAAAGTCTGTCAACCTCTATACCTCCCAAGCTATGTCCTTGGAGGTGGCATGCTACCTGTACCTGAAAATGATGTTCCCATATAGGGTGAGCCACAGCCCAGTAGAAATACACTAAACCAACTATGAACAATGACTAAAAGATTAGCAGTTGATAGATGGCCAACACTGATACTTCCACTTATATCACATTACAATTTCATGACTTGCAAGTCCATGTTACATTTCATTTTCCATATCTATCCAATCCTCAATTCATAACCATGGCTCAGAACCTAGCAAAACAACGTATATGAGACAGTAACTCATATTAAACATTTTCCCATTTTACAATAGACAAGCATATTAGCTATATCAACATATCAATAGACAAGCCTATTAACTGTATCAACATTTCCACAGATAAGCATAAGAGCTATATCACACTTCCAAAGATAAGCATAAGAGCTGTATCAACACATTAATAGACAAGCATATGAGCTGTATCTACGGAGTCCATCCCCTATCTCCTCCCACGCAACATCCGGTTTAGAGGTCCATCCTCTATCTTCCCCTAAACCGTGGAGTACATCCCCTATCTCCTCCAACACAACACAATGCATATAAACAGTTATTATACACATTATCAATCAATACATAAAGTTAATGCATTCTTTCAACCATCATACTCAATGACACATTCCATTGATTAGTTTTCGTTTAACTAATCATCATGCATTGTCTATAACAATCAAGACTATCCTCCACCGATAGCCCAAAGCAATTATTTCTAAACAGAAAATAAATGCACCAATGGATGTATAAATCAACATTTCAACTAGGTGAGCGATAAATGATCCAACTACACCTTTTAATCCCATACATTCTTGATTCCAACATTTCCAATCCAATTCCTCATTTCCCAAATTAATTATACAAATTAATTAATTAAACCAATTAGGGCAAATTCCCATAATTCTCAATATCGATCTTAAGGTCCCATCCCCACCAATTTCATAACGAAATTACCATTTTCAATGCTACAAACATACAAGGTTTCAATTTAGTTAAAAACCCTCTTTTATGAAAAATTACATAAAGGCCCCCAAACTTTCTCAAAATTACCCAACAACCTCCAACATATCAAAATGTTAAAATTCAAAGACAAAGCTCATAAAGAGGAGTAGGATATCCCTACCTCGAAGTTAGAGCTCGAATGGAGGAGAGACCAAAACCAAAGTGCTCCAAACTCCAAACTTTTCGGATCAAAACGACGCCCTTGACGATCAACACAACTTTTACAAAGGCCGAAGGGAAGGAAAGCACTTTAACTAGATCAAACTCTAGAGAGAAGGGAGTTTCTAGAGAGAGAGGCTCTCAAAATATCTTTTTGGAAAGTAGGAGAGAGAGAGGAAGTGTAGAAAAATGATTTAAAAATGCCCAGCTGCCTTCTGTTATACGACATTCCCGCTCGAGCGGAAAACACAACGCTTGAGTGTCAAGAACAAAAACCATGGTCCGCTCGAGCTCAATAAGGTCCGCTCGAGCTCCAAGACACAGGAATAAAGCACACCCGCTCGAGCGTGAAAAACCAGACCGCTCGAGCACAATTTTTCCCCTCCTAGAACTTTTACCAAAAAGTACTAGCCGCTCGAGCTCCAACAAGCCCGCTCGAGCGTGACCCGCTCGAGCGCAAGAAACCCGCTCGAGCGTAGAAAACCAACCAGCAGAAGTTTTGCAGAGCATCAAAATACTGGGAGTGTGCAATCTCTGCTCGAGCGCTCAAATACCCGCTTGAGTGGGACGACCAAAAACACAGCAACAAGGTTTTAAACCAAGGCTCAACCCACCTTCTCGAAACAAGCCCAACATATCCTAAAACTCAAAGAAATGGAATTAAAGGACAACGATAAGATAAATACAACTACCAATTCCACGGAACCAAGGTCCGGAATACAACTGAACAGTAAAGGGAATACCAGGATCGCTATAGTTTGGTTTGTTTTTGAGAAATAAATTTTGGAGAATTTTTTTAAAAATTTTGTTTGGTTGAGTAATTTTGGAAAAAAATTTTCAAAATTACTTTTTATCTTCTACACATCAATCAATCACTTTTTCTCTTTCCTCTCTCATTCTCACGGGTTGTTTGGGATGACCTAAATAAGTGCACTTTTTGTCTTTTTACGAAAAGATGTGCGGTGATGTGATGGAAAAAAAAGATAAAAAGATGGATTATTTGAGACTTCCCAAACTTGGCCTCAATTACTTTTTCTCTCTTTCACATACATCTACTCAACTACAACAAAATATCAAATCATTCCAAACTCCCATATTCCAAAACTATTTTCAAAATATACAACCAAATAAACCAAAAAAATTTCTAAACTCTTTCAGAAGCATGAACGAATTTACAAGATAAAAATTTACAGGATAGGAGAGGAAATAAAATAAAGAAACAGACACATAACATATGCCTAATATCCCATGATTACACAATCATGAGATTTTTATCCTAATTCCTAATTCCAACACTTCCCCTCAAGCTAGACATTTAATAAATCCAGCTTAATAATAGATGATCGAAGTAATGTTGGACCAACAGACTTTGTGAACATATCAGCTAGTTGCTCAGAAGAAGAGACAACTGGCGGACTCACAATACCAATCCAAACCTTTCCTCGAATAAAATGTATGTCAACCTCGATGTGTTTCATTCGCTCATGAAGTACTGAATCAGAGGATAACATAATAGCTGATTTGTTGTCACAATCCTCAGCAAATCCTAACTCTATAAGAATAGAGCAAAGCCACAAAACCTGCGCCATTGCCCGATACTCAGTTTCAGCAGAAGATCTAAAAACAATTGCCTGTTTCTTACTTTTTGATGAGACAAGATGGTCACCATAAAAAGTACCAAAACCAAATATGGACCGTCTATCATCTCCGCCGATCTTCGCGACAAGTCCCAAGTACTCCAAGGTTACCCTTTCTATGTGAAAAGGGTGAGGGATGGGAAATTCTATTTCCACCACCCTAAAAGTTCAGGGCAAATCTTTTCTCAATACACATCTCTATTAATTTAATTATTAAGTAATTATCTCAACCCACATCCTTAAAATTACAAATAAATCCTTCCCTCATATGTACATACACTTTAGGGTAATTCTATTTATATACCATTACTTATCTTAGCACACATCATTTACTCTGTGCAAACCATACACAAATAAATTTTTTTAATTTTATCTCAATACACACCAATAATTTTCAGATAATACTAAACTACCCTTATCTTGTCCAACAAACCCTAACCCTACCATTGCCAGCAATCACGGCCTCCTACCTGCGGCATTCCCTTCTCAGCCTCTCATGGCCGCCGCCCCTCCCTAGCCTCCCCCCCCCCCCCGCCACTACTTCTTTCTCTCCAATCTCCCTTCCTTTCATCACATCCCCATTCTGTCAGTCCCTCATCTTTGTCTTTTTCTGCTATCGCCGCCGCTGCCGCCGCCACCGTAGCTCCCTTCCATTCAGTCGCGATTGCTAGATCGCGATCTTTCTTCCATCTGCGATTTCTCTCTCTCAATCACAATGATCATCATCTTTCACCATCATTATCGTCGACCACTTCTCTAGCCTTTCATTTCCAACAACAACGCCGCAGCCCCCCACTGCCAACAACCCCTTTCGATAACCGTACTCTGTGATCTACCCTTCATCTAGCTAGGGTTTGGGTTTCTAGATCTAGGGTTTGAGCAAGAAGAAGAATAAAAAGAAGAAGAGAAGGGGTTGCGGAATGGGCTGCGAGAGATATTAGGGTTGGGAAGGAGAGGGATGGTGCTAGTTGCAGAGGGTAGAAAAGGGCAGAGGACGACAGAGGGGTGGGCGACAGAGCTGGGGAGGCGCGATTGGACTGGGGAGAGTATGCTGGACTGGAGAGGGGATGGTGGTGGCTGCGGTGGCGGGGGCTAGAGAGGGGTGATCAGATGGCACTGGCAGAAGGAGAGAAATGCTATGAAGGTGGTGATTATCGGAAGGGAGAGGAGAGAGGTGGTTGGGTGGTCGGCAATGGCAAATGTTAGGGTTGAATTGAGAGAGAGGGAGGGAGGGAGAGAGAAATGGAGGGGTGTATTGGTAATTTGATTAAAGGATAGAAATGTAATAAAAAAATTAGAGAAATGGTATGAATTGAGAGAAATGGTGATGTGTAAATAGAATTACCCCTAAAATTAGAGAAATAGATATTATAGTAATTTTTAATTAAGATATAATTGTCATTAATCTAATTTTTCATTAAGTATGTTGACTGAGTTTATCAGGATGGTGGAAATAGAATTTCCCGTGAGGGATGGCCGAACCAAACACATACAAAGGTTTGGCTTTGTTAGGTGCCATCGCCTTTCCTTTGTATATATTAAAAAAAAAAAAAAAAAAAAAAAAAAAAAGCCAATAAACTATTTTTTGTTTCCCAAAACATGCCTTCGTCTAGTCTAGCCTCACTGCTTTGCTCACAACCAGAGCAGGGGCAGCGACATCTCTCTCTCTCTCTGCTTCCAGATCTCCAGAAATCCGTTGGATCCATCGAGCCCAAAGTAGCAGAGTGATAAAAGAGAAGATAAGAATACTCTCAATCGATACATGTATGATCTATGTGTCAATAAACTAGCGCCATTGCTATAGATTTAGAGAATCTTGGTTTTGGTTTTTCAGCTGAAACTGAAGTTAGAGATGGAAGGGGAGGAGAGATGGTGCGTGGTGACTGGGGGTAGAGGCTTTGCGGCTAGGCATTTGGTCGAAATGCTCATCCGATACATGTTTTCTGTTCGTATTGCTGACTTAGGACCCTCCATCGAACTTGATCCCTCCGAGGACATTGGAACCCTCGGTCAAGCTCTCCGCTCTGGCCGTGCTCAATACGTCTCCGCCGATCTTCGCGACAAGTCCCAAGTACTCCAAGGTTACCCTTTCTATCTCTTTTTCATTCACTTTCCATCCATTGTTGTCTACCGGTGTGTCAACCGGATGACCAGCTGGAGACCGCTCTGATGACCGGCATTCACAAATTCGGACAATTCGGGCGAGCCCAAATTCGGTGGATGTGGCAATGCTCTTGCAATAAATAGACTAATGGGTCAATCAAATTTTCATTTTTTGCTATATATATCTCACATATTAATCCTGTTTTGTGCTTTTAGTATAATTTTTTGGGTCTCTTCTGTAGTTTGCCGAGGAGCTGAGGTTGTTTTCCACATGGCTGCTCCAGATTCATCCATCAACAATCATGAGCTTCACCATTCAGTTAATGTCAAGGGTAAAAATGTTGCTTGTGGGGAGTGCATTAGGAATTAAATTTTTTGTGAATTTTAGAAATTAGTTGTTTTTCTCCACTTTCATGCTATTGATTATATGTAGTTCAATTGTTTTTCTGATTATGGCCTACAGGAACACAGAATATAATTGATGCTTGTGTTGAGCATAAAGTTAAGAGACTTATATACACTAGCTCTCCTAGCGTGGTCTTTGATGGAGTTCATGGAATAATTAATGGGGATGAGTCATTGCCATATCCAGCTAAGGTACTTTGTCAAAGTTGTGTGTTGCAAATCAAGATCAACTTTATATGAATCCTGGAATATGATTAGCAGCAGCAGAAGAACTTACTTTATATTTATATATATATATATATATATTTAATTTTTTTGTATAACTGGTTGAAACAGACTTATGAGTGCGTTTGGACTACTTTATTCCATTTTCTTCACCCCCCAACTTCTCATTTAAGATTTAGATCAATTTCTAATTTTTCCAGAGAGAAAGCTCTCATTGCTTCTTATACTAAAAAAAAAAAAGAAGATAAAAAGTACCAAGGAAAAAGAAAACCAGTACTTTGTTGCCCCTGTAAGTTGGCCATCCAATTCTGTTCGCAAGGAAGTTGCCAGTCAATGGGTTCTCACCTTCTTGAACCTCTTTTTTTCCATTCCATCATGATTCTCTCTCCTTTTTCACCTTTTCCTCTCCACTTCTTACATTTTATCCTCAAACTCTCTATGTAAAGTGAAAAAAAGGAAACAAAAGAAAGCCAATTGTTTGAAAAGTTTCCTTATTTAAAATCACTAAAGCATCTCCAATCCTTCACCGAATCTTTTATCAAATTTAAATTTGATGAAAAATTTGGTGAAAATGACCTCCAATCATTTCATCAAACTTTTATGAAATCAAGTTTTCACCAACATTTTTATCAAATCAAGGCAAAACAAGTTTATCTTCAAATCAAGCTTTTAGTTAAATTTGTTGAAAAGCTATTGGAGCATCACATATCAAATCATGCTTTTAATCAATTTTTTACCCAAATTTAATGAAAAGAAAAAGATGAAGGATCGGAGATGCTCTTACATCCTGCAAACAGAAGCATGAACGAATTTACAAGATAAAAATTTACAGGATAGGAGAGGAAATAAAATAAAGAAACAGACACATAACATATGCCTAATATCCCATGATTACACAATCATGAGATTTTTATCCTAATTCCTAATTCCAACACTTCCCCTCAAGCTGGACATTTAATAAATCCAGCTTAATAATAGATGATCGAAGTAATGTTGGACCAACAGACTTTGTGAACATATCAACTAGTTGCTCAGAAGAAGAGACAATTGGCGGACTCACAATACCAATCCAAACCTTTCCTCGAATAAAATGTATGTCAACCTCGATGTGTTTCATTCGCTCATGAAGTACTGAATCAGAGGATAACATAATAGCTGATTTGTTGTCACAATCCTCAGCAAATCCTAACTCTATAAGAATAGAGCAAAGCCACAAAACCTGCGCCATTGCCCGATACTCAGTTTCAGCAGAAGATCTAAAAACAATTGCCTGTTTCTTACTTTTTGATGAGACAAGATGGTCACCATAAAAAGTACCAAAACCAAATATGGACCGTCTATCAGTTCTAGATTCTGCATCAGCGAAACTAGAGAGCCTTTGAAAAATAATCCCAAATCAGGAGAAATCTTCAAATACTGCAAAATGTGATGAATGACATCAAGATGTTCTATATGAGGTGTATGCATAAATTGACTCAACACTAACCGCAAAACTCAAGTCTAATCTAGTGTTAGTCAAGTATATGAGACGGCCAACAAGGCTTTGATACATGCCTGGATCCTTCAGTAACTCGCCAGACTCTAATGTAAGCTTGAGGTTTGGATCCATAAGAGTAGAAGTTGTTTTACACCCTAGCATACTAGTGTCTTGAAGAAGATCAAGAACATACTTTCTTTGGGACAGTGAAATCTTCTGACGAGAGCGAGCAACCTCAATACCCAGAAGGTATTTGAGAGGACCCAGATCCTTAATATCAAATGCTTGACTCAAATCCCTCATTACTTGTGCTATGCCAACTGAATCATTGCCTGTAAAATTTATGTCATCAACATACACAAGTAGAATAATACACTGACTAGTGGGATTCTTGTGAATAAAGCAAGTATGATGATTAAAGTGGCATTGAACAAATCCTATGGATAAAATAACAGAGTTAAAGCGGTTGAACTAGGTTCGAGGAGACTGTTTAAGCCCATACAAGGACTTGCGCAGTCGACACACTTTCCCGTCATACTCCTTCTCAGCCCGAAAATCGGGTGGGGGATCCATATAAATAGTCTTAAGTAAGTCCCCATGCAGAAAAGCATTCTTGACATCCAGCTGATGTAGAGGCCAAGAATGTGAGGCAACAAGGGAAATAAGAAGCCGAACAGAGGTAAGCTTGGCGACCAGTGCAAAAGGTAGCCCCCAAAATCTTTGCTAGGAACCTGAGTAAAGCCCTTGACAATTAGTCGCGCTTTGTAGCGGTCCACACTGCCATCTGTAAAATACTTAATAGTGAACACCCATTTGCAACCAACAATCCTTTCACCAGATGGAAGAGAGACAAGCTGCCAGGTCTGATTCTGTTCCAAAGCTGTCATCTCTGTTTGCGTAGCAGCCACCCACTTGGGATTCTGAAGAGCTTTTGACACAGAACGAGGAATAGTTGCCAACTCGAGCTTGCCAAGGAAGGAACGATAGATAGATGAGACACTGGCATATGAAAGATACTCAGAAATAGGATGATTAGTACTACTAAGATACCCAAATCGATTAGGGGGATGTCTATCACGATGAGGGTTGCGACAAGGAGCAGTAATCAAAGGGGAAGAATTATTTGACCCACGTATCAGAGAGGCTGTTGGCAGAGGACAGGGATGACAAGAATATACCTACAGTGGAGGAAGAGGAGAAGAAAGAGGAGCCTCAGTAGAGTTAGCCTCAACCTCGTGAAAAATGGGAGGAGGCTGAACATTAGAATCCACTAATAGGACAAGAGTGAAAAGAGGAATAGCATTTTGCGCCCACATGTTTGAATTTGAGGGTAAAGAGTTTGCTTGTTATATGGGATCCAATGCATCTAGCAGAGCGAAACAACGTTCCATTCTTTTCGGCGGCATCCTTCCGCATGGGCGGCAAGTGGAATCCTGCATAGAAGGGTGAGTGCGAAAAAAGGGAACCTCATGAAACATCACACAAGAATGATAGTACTTACGAGTGCTAGGATCACAACGCCGATACCCTTTCGACATAGTGGAATACCCTAACAAGATACAACTAATGACCTTATCATCTAACTTAGTGCAACTAGGACTTTTGTTCTGGACAAAACCAGTACACTCAAAAACCTAAGGTATGAGAGGAAAGAGAGTCCTAGTAGGATGTAAGACTTGAAGAGGAGCAAGATCGTGCAAGACACGACTAGGAGTGCGATTAATAAGATAAATTGCGATAAGAATAGCGTTATGCCAATAAAACTTATGAACATTCATACCCTAAAAAAGATAACGAACCACAGACATTATGTGGCGGTTTTTGTGTTCGGCAATCCCATTTTGTTCAGGAGTGTTAGGACAAGCAAGTTGTTGAAGTATACTAACCTAATTAAGATGGGAACGAAAAGCATTAAAGGTGTATTCTCCACCATTATATATTTCGAACAACAGTGTGGAACTGGGTTTTAACCATCTGGAGAAATTGAACAAATATGGAGAAGACATCAAATTTACGCTTAATAAGATAAATCCAAGTACAACGAGTGTGGTCATCTATAAAGGTCACATAATATCCATGGCTAGACAAAACAGTAACACGTGAACGGCCCCACATATCCAAATGAATGAGATCAAACACAGAAGGAGCACAATGCATACAAAGAATGTAAGTACTACAAGTATGTTTTGCTAACTCACAAACGTCACATTGAAACTAATGAGTCTTACAAGCTTTATTAAAAGTTGGAAACAATAAACATAAATACTAAAAATTTGCATGACCTAGACAGACATGCCATAATACTAAAGTCTTAAAAGAAAAAACATAGGAGGATGAATCCTCAGGCAACACAGAAGTAGAAAAACTAGAAAGAGGTGGCTGATCTAGTGGATCTCTAAGGTAGTATAGACCATCACTCTCACATCCTTGCCAAAAATCCTCTTCAAACTTAGGTCCTGTAATAAGCAAGAATTGGGTAAGAAAATGACAACAAAATGAAAGGCTTTGGCAAGTTGGCTCAGAGACAAAAGATTATATGCAAAGTTAGGAACATGTAGGACAAGATAGAGAGTAATATCAGGAGATAAAGTAACACCACCTCGATGGCGAACAAAAGTAGTAGAATCATCAATGAGACACACAGTTTGGGTTGCAGCAAGAACTGGAGAAGAAAGGTAGGAAAGTTCACCTGTCATGTGATCATTAGCCCTAGAATCCAGAACCCAAGTAGGACGTATAGAGTGAACATGGAATGCAGTAGGAGTACTTGTAGCCAATGTAGTAGTCGAGGATGATGGCCCTGGAAAATATCATAGAACCAAGCTGGGCCTAAAGCTGACCGATCTGTGTCAGAAGGAGATACAAATCTGGAGCAATAAAACTTGAGACAGTCTCTACAACAGTAGCGGTGTGAGATGAGTCAGACGGGCGAGCACGGGAGAAACATTGTTTTTACTCAGGATGAAGTTTGAAACAGCTAGCTTGGACATCTCTCGGTTCTCTAACAATGATGACAAATTACCTTCCCAGTAGAAGGACGAGACCCAGACTGTGCAACAAGAGCCATCTGATTAGAGGAGGCAGGAGGCTCAGGAATTGGAGAAGAAACACGCTAAACTATCTGGCAGTGGCACTCATTACTATTAATAATAGCAAATGCCTCATAAAGAGAAGGTAGAGGAGACGTGTTTAAAATTTGAATGCGAAGAGACTCGAACTCAGAGTTTAAACCTATCTCTAACTGGTAGGTATGCTGCTGAGCAAGTCGCTTGGTCACAAGTGAAGCAGTCTTGGTCAGAAGATCAGTTTAAGGCTTATATTGAGCCAACTCTTCCTAACGGGCTTGGAGATACCCAAGTATATCGAGAAGCACGAGCAATATCTTGATAGAGCTTAAAGATGCGAACATCATTATGAGCATGAGCGTACATCTAGGATAAGGCGGACCATAAACTAGGAGCAGTATCACAATATAGGAACATATGATAACTTCGATCCTCCATGGAATTGAGTATCCATCCCAAGATAGTACAATTATCAATATCCCATTGAATATGTTTAGAATCTATAGCGTCCGACTAAGTAGTGGTAGATGAAAACCAATGAGCTTTCCCCTTTTTCCCTAAATAGTGAGAACGGCTTCAGGCAGCAAAATTTTTCCCATTTGACACCATGCTTGTGATACGATGAATAGGAGTGTGGTGTGAGAGAAAAATCTGGATTAATCGGAATGGGTTTAACTGGTACCACAGTAGGAACATCAGATGGAGACTTAGTCGTGGTGTCTAGAGAAATATGTGATGTGTATAATTAACAATCTAGAACAATACACAAATAATAGAGCAAACACACCGGACAAACGGCGTAACTAATCCAACAAGTGCTATCGAACAACCCGGTAGCCCACCAACAAAAGAATGAAGAAAAAAGTGCTTACCACATTAGCACCAAGTCCCGAAACAGGGACAGAGAGTGCCGAATTGCCCTAGAGGGGCTGTCGGCCTAAACTAGTGCTACCGAAACTGCCTAGGGATGGCTGTCGGCTTTAACCCAAGTAGTGGGTGGCTTGTTCAAAGGGAAAGAAGGGGTTGACGGGTTGAGGAGAGAAGAGGAAAGGAGTGTGTAAGGGCCGAAAGTGAGAGAGAGAGGCTGTCGAAGGCAAGAGTGGGAGAGAGACTGTCGGAGGGCTTGGGCAAGGATGAGGGGAGAGAGAGAGAGAGAGAAGGGTTAGGGTTAGGGTTAGGGTTTGGTACCAAATAGAATATGATGAATTGAATGGCTTAGTCTATAGAATGGAGACTAACCTGTGTATATATATTGATAAAGATTTATAAGATAGGAAAGGAAATAAAATAAAGAAGCAAATCACATAACATATGCCTAACATCCCGTGATTACATCACGGGATTCTTATTCTAATTCCTAATTCCAACATCCTTCACCAAATTTTTCCTCAAATTTAATGATGAAAAACTTTTATCCAATCACCAAATTTTTCATCCAATCATTTCATCAAACTTTTATCAAATCAAGGCAAAACAAGGTGTTTTTTTTTTTTTTTCCAAATCAAGATTTTAGTTAAATTTGATGAAAAGCTATTGGAACATATCAAATCATGATTTAAACCAATTTTTTTACCCAAATTTAATGAAAAGAAAAAAGATGAAGCATTGGAGATGCTCTTACATCCTGCAAACTACTTCCCGATCACCCTTCTTCTATTTTCTCTACATATTACCAATTCATGTTGATGCAGAATATAAAAAGCTCAAGGAAGGCTAAATTGAAAGAAGGGATGATATTTGAACATTGGCATGATTCCAAAGAGATCCTGATAGAAATTTTATATAATAATGTTTCTAGTATTATTACAGTCTTATTTTATAATTATTTTTATGTTTTCTAGAATTTTTAGGTCAGGGGTATTTTGGTAATTTTTATTATTGTTGTCATGGGTTGTAGGGGTCACCCATGAGTCATCTTGGGGGGTCAAGTTATTTAATTGAGTTTTATTTATGTTTCTTATTTGGTCTTAAATTAGTTTTGGAAGTCTAAGATATTATAGTAGTTTTCTTTTTTGGTTCTAGTTGGTTTAGGAGGTTTCTAAAATCTATATGAAGTCGTGTAATGCTTCTAATTCAATAGAGGTGATATTTTAAAGAATTTTGAGAGCTTTGAAGCCTATTTGGGTTTGTGTGATGCAACCCTAGCCTTAGGTGTGATGGCTATGGAATCTAGGTGTGATGCCTAGACCTATCTTCTTCTTCTCTTTCTTTCCTTTTTTTATTTTATGCACTTTTAACAGCCCAAAACACTGTTCACAGTCCCTAAAACAGCCCCCTAAACAGTGCCAAAATCTAATTTTTCATGGTTAAACTCTGACCCGTTTAACCCTACTTGTACCCTATACTCTTATTGCAATTTCAGCCATAAAATCCAATTAAAATCAGCTCCAAAAGCCTAGATTTACGGCTGTCCTACTTGTCCTACATCACATGTATATCTAAAATTAATTTTGTCTGCAACTGCTGCAGCACAATGATTCATATTCTGCAACTAAAGCTGAAGGAGAGGCACTGGTTATCAAGTCAAATGATATTAATGGGCTTCTGACATGTTGCATCCGCCCTAGCAGCATTTTTGGTCCTGGTGATAAATTACTTGTTCCATCTTTGGTATCTGCTGCGAGGGCAGGTAAATTGAAGGTAACTTAATTTTTTTCATCTCTGGAACTTGTCACATTTTTAGTGTCTCATGTATAGGTTTTATAATGTTCTACAAATTCATATGGTTCATTCTATGTTGAGTTAGCAAATAACTAAATTTTTGAATTATATGAATCCTTCAAATGATCACTAAATGATATGATTTTTGCGATGTTGTACTTGGGGAATGTGAGATATCAAGTAATTGTGCTGCATAAATTGGCAATTTTGTAAAACACAACCAACTAGTTTTCATGTTAGAAGTTCCTTTCAACACACAACCAACTACTTTTATTTTTGAAGATTATAAAAGAGAGATCAGAAAATATACACTATACAAAGGGCATACCCCAGGACAACTCAACAACTCAAAGCTAAACAAACAAAACGCACATTCCTACTACCTGAATAGATTTAATTCACTCCATGCTTAAACTACTAAGCAACAAACAAACAAAAATAAAGAGGCTAACGGGAGCCAAGGAGAGACATGCACCAACAAGCCCACTCTTGAGAAGCATCATACAATGTGCCAACCAATGAAGGGTGACAACAGAAGCCCACCCTATCTGTCATCAAAGTTAGTACTAGGAAGCTTCCATTCTTGTTGCAACCATTTGTTTGGTTGATCACTTTGCACACCAGTAAGGATCTGTCAACATTCAGCTTGATATTCTCTACAATAGTTTTGGAGTCTATATATAGTTATTTTGATAAAGCCTTGTATTTCTGTCCTACGAGATTATATGAACGCTGGTATCAAATAAACATCTCTGTAGCAGTTTTGTCAGGATTTTATGTTTAAGGTGAGATGCTGCCCACTCAACCAAGTCCTTTTATCTCAATCTAGGCCATTGGATGTTGCATTTCTTGCACAATTGATTCCAGATTCCTCCAGTAAAAGAACAATAAAGAAACAGATGATCATGTTTGTCAACGTTTACCTACGGGACACACATCTCATGGATTGAATTTTCCATCAGCTTATCTTAAGTGTCGAGACGCTCTGATATTGCAAGCCACAAGATAAAAGCATGTCGAGGAACATGCTATGGAATCCAAATCACAAGACAGTTTGGTTATGAGGTCTTAAAAGCTGCCAAGCATCACTAAGAATAAGTCTTCCATGGCAGTCATGCATCCAAATCCAACCAATGGTGTCTTCTCAATCAGAATGGGGAACAAGGTTGGGAGACATTTTCCTTTATAACTCAATCAGCTCCACCCAGCTTGCACATGGCCAGTGCCATGCCACCTACCTTCTTGTATTTTGGCAGCAATTCGAGTTTTTCTCCCTAACCTAGGGTCATATATAATCTGTTCACCCTTGTACACAACAATAGGACCAATGGGCAACTAACTATCAAACCAGCAGGAGATCTTCCTGCCATTGCCTATATGGTGCTTGATAGTCGATATAAGGTCTCACGGTGTCATGACCCAAGCCCGTCCCTATAGGTTTAGACCATAACCGGCTAGTAATCCCAGATTCCCAGCCTCAAAGATAGAATCAACACAAATATTTAACTATGAACGGGGCCAGAAGCGGAAGTAGACTAATAAATTTTGGCCAATGAGCTGTGCATACATGACGTATCCAGACATCACATTTAGTTAATAACTTGCATCCAATCATTTACAAAAGATAGTGCTCAGCCAAGACCATTCACAAGATCATTATTATACAAACTCGAAAGTTTAAATACAAAACACAGTCAACATGACCAACAAAACAAAAAGGACAAAAGCCTCTTGCGTGAGGCATCCTCCCCCCCCACCCCAAAAAAAAAAAAAAACTTGGTATCACAAGTTCACTAGGGCTGAGGTTGCACGTCTCGCTGCTCACCTACATACATATATATACAGAGTGAGTTAAAGCCCAGTTAGTAATGCCTGTATAAAGAGGTTAAATGAATGATGTCTAGTATAGTACAAAATCAAAACACATGAGTTCGAAGCAAATCATAACTGAATACTTCTTGTATCAAAGTTCGCAAATTATAATCATAGGTGGTACATCCATTAGTGCACGAAGGGACCACATGGGTCTAACGAAGGGACCATATAGGTCTACATCAGAGATCTCTGTAATGAAGGGCCACGGTATTGTCCCTCCCGGGCGAGGGCCATATAACATAGGCCATGGTATTGGTACCCCCAGGCAAGGGCTACATTAAAAATGCCACCATTACATTTTGAAAGAGACAATCATTCATTCATAACGAAATGGCATTTCAAAATAACGATCTTGCGGTAAACCTTTAATAACATATCTTTACAAAAGTACTACTCACAATGGGCTGGTATTGACAATAGACCTCGGTTGACCATCTACACAAAACACATAACACAAATACACATTAAACACACGTTTGAAACAAGTAACGTATCTTCATTTTATTCTCTTGCGCTTGTTTCTAGCTTATTCCATGATTAAGGATGTTCAAATGATGCAAAAGAATGCCTAAATAGGCATGAGGATGCAAATATGTACTTATAAGCGTTAGTCAAAACTTGTTGAAAATAGGGTCTTCGCTCGAGCGCACACTTGGTTGCTTGAGCGGCGTGGCCTGACTGCAAAAGTACTGGATGCTCAAATTTAATGCTTGATGGTCGCTCGAGCCAAGTGCTGAACAAAAGTGGGTTCGCTTGAGCGCACACTTGGTCCCTCGAGCCAATGGCCAAAGTTTGCAAAAATACTGGATGGCTTTGATGTTTGCTCGAGCCATGGTTCCTTTGCTTGAGCGAACTGTGCGAATTCTGGACTTTCTACATTTGTGTTTGAAGTTCAAAACCAATGCTTTCATGTTCAAAACTTGCTTGGTTGGTCTCAAAAGCTTAGAAACTCATTACAAAACATGAATGGTTGGAAATTATAGAACCATGATCTCAAATGCTCTTTCAATTCTTCAAAACAAGGTTCAAACATCATGTTCTTGACATGCATGTAACAAACTCAACTCTTTCCTTTCTAAAACATGCATATAAGGAATGTTGAGTGTAAAAACATGAAGAACTCTAAGAATTAACATGTGAAAGTCCCATGCATGTGTGAATTTGAGAAAACCAAGTTCAAAGGATGAAGAATCATGCATGCATGTACACAATTCACTTGAATTCACTAAACTCTTGTTGATTCTAGCTCATTTCTTTCTATTACATGCTAATGGTCCTACAAATTAGTGAATTCATTTCCCTATATGGATTATCTTCATGAATTATAGGTAAAGATCATACCTAGAGCTTGATTTGGGCCATAGTTGAGCTTAAGCTCTTCAATTTCCCTTTAATCCTCTTGAATTCTTCTTCTCTCTCTAAAATGTTGAGTTCTCTCTCTAACTCTTAATTTTCAGCTCAAAAGATTGAAGAGAATGAAGTCTAAAGCATGATTAGCATATATATATATAGGTGGATTAGGCTTAGCTAATTAATTGTGCTTAAGGCTAATCAATTGGGCTTAAGTCTAAACAATTATACTTAATTATTCTAATTATTTTGATTTGAATGAAAATTTAATTAAGTGCTTGTTTGGCATGTACGAAAAAAGTGCACTTTTTTTGCATACATACACTTATTTGGGTCACATCAATCAACATCTCTTCTCTACTTTTCTACACATTTAAAAAAATAAAAATAAAAATAAAAATAAATAAGAAGTAGAAAAGTGCACTTATTTAGAACATCCCAAACATCTCCTAAAATTACCATATGGTTCTAAATATTCCAACTAGCCTATTGAATTAATCAATTTTGGTTTCTGAATTCGTTTAGGCTCCAACTAGCCTATTGAATTAATCAATTTTGGTTTCTGAATTCGTTTAGGCTTTCAATTTCGCAATCTACGTCGGCATTCAAACAAATAATTCGCAAACTAACAATTAAGTATCAAATAAACACATAATCATGCAATAATGCTCAATAAAATATTATGGAAAAATAATACGAAGGTCAGGGTCGTCACAGTCTTCCCCCCTTAGGAAGTTTGGTCTTGCAAACTTGAGTTACCTCCATTTGGAAACAATTTCGGGTAGCATTGTCTCATTTCATCTTCATTTTCCCACGTTGGTTCTTTCCCATAGTGTTCTTTCCACCCAACTTTCACCATAGAAATGAGCTTGTTTCTCAATTGCTTGACTTGCCGATCAATAATCTAAATTGGCTTCTCTTCATAGATCATGTCATCATCAAGTGCTATTCGGTGGTAGTTTGTGACATGGAATGGATCTCTAAGGTATCCGCAGAGCATTGATACATGGAAAATGTTGTGCATCTGTTCCATTCCTAGCGGTAAAGCAATACGATAAGTAACAAGGCCAAGTCTTTCTAGAATCTGAAACGGCTCGATGCAACGCAGAGTTAACTTTCTTTTTCTGCCAAACCGTGTTTGCCCTTTCATTGGCGTTACTCGAATGAACACTTGATCTCTCACTTCATATTTCAAATCTCTCCTCTGATCAACATAACTTTTCTGTTGACTCTGAGCAGTCTTGAGCCTCTGTTGGATGATCTTTATCTTTTCAGTTGTTTCTTGTACAAGTTCAGACCCATACAAAGCTCCATCACCAACCTCGGTCAAGCAAATCGGAGACCTACACTTTCTTCCGTACAATGCCTCATAAGGTGCCATGCCGATACTCGAGTGGAAACTGTTTTTATAAGCAAACTCTGCCATTGGTAAGTAAGTTTCCCAGCTGCCTTGAAATTCTAAGACACACATACGAAGCATATCTTCATATGTCAAGATAGTTCTCTCGGTTTGCCCATCTGTTTGTGGATGAAAAGTTGTGCTGAATCTCAATTCTGTGCCCATTGCCTGTTGCAAACTTTGCCAAAATCTAGAAACAAATTTAAGATCCCTATCCGACACACACAATAGATATTGGAACCCCATGTAATCGAATGATCTCATCAATATAAAGTGACAAGTCTATAGGCATTAAATGATGTTTTCACAGCAAGAAAATGAGCTGATTTCGTTAATCTATCTACAATAACCCAAATAGCATTCATACCTCTAAATGTCCGAGGTAGACCAACAATGAAGTTCGTGATTATATGTTCTTACTTCCATTCTGGAATGGGAGGAGATTGAAGCAAACCTGCTGGTTTTTGAAGTTTAGCTTTTACCTGTTGACATTGAAGGCATTTAGAATTGTAGTATGCAATTTCCCTCTTCATATTGGGCCACCAATACATTTGTTTCAAGTCTTGGTACATTTTAGTATTCCCCAGATGCATAGCAAACATTTATTTGCGAGCCTCTTCTAAAATTCTTTTTTTCAATCCTGCATCATTAGGTACACAAAGTCTTCCCTGAAATTTCAATATTTGTTCTTCAATGGAGAATCTTGGTTTAGGCATAGTTTCAAACTCATCACACAGTTTATTTAAAAACTGATCATCTCTCTGTTTCTGTTTGATCTCTTCAATAATCACCGGTTGTGCGGACATTCCGGCCAAAACACTGTCTTGCTCATGATACACAACTTCTATTTCAAGTTTGTCTAGATCTTGCAAAATTTCCCTTCGGTCTATTAGCAAACATGCCAAGGTTCCCGTACTTTTTTTGTTCAAAGCATCAGCCACTGTATTAGCTTTACCTGGATGATAGTGGATTTGCAGGTCATAATCTTTAATTAATTCAAGCCAACGTCTCTGTTGCATATTAAGTTTTTTCTAGGTAAAGAAATATTTTAAGCTTCTGTGGTCCGTATACATTTCACACTTAGCCCCATATAAATAGTGGCTTCAGATTTTCAATGCAAATACTACGGCAGCCAGTTCCAAATCATGTGTTGGGTAGTTCTTTTCATGTGGTTTTAGTTGTCGGGATGCGTACGCAATCACTTTGCCATTTTGCATGAAAATACAACCCAAACCTCTATGAGATGCATCACTGAAAATTACAAACCCTTCAATACCTGATGGTAAGGTAAGGGTTGGAGCTGTAGTCAATCTTGTCTTCAGTTTTTGGAATGCGGATTCCCTTTGATTTGTCCACACAAATGGTTCTCCCTTTCGAGTAAATTGTGTCAATGGCACATCAATTTTAGAGAAGTCTCTGACAAATCTTTGGTAGTAACTTGCCAAAACCATGAAACTACGAATTTCTGTTACGTTAATCGCAGTAGGCCACCCCAATTTTCTATGGGTCAATAGATATCCCTTCTCTAGTAATAACATGCCCCAAAAATGTAACTTCATTCAACTATAATTCACATTGCTTAAATTTCCCATAGAGTTGTTTCTCCCTGAGTGTTTGCAGAATTGTTCTAAGGTGTTGTTCATGTTCTTCTCTACTCTTTGAATATATCAAAATGTCATCAATAAAAACTACAACAAATTCATCAAAAAATGGTTTAAAGACTCGGTTCTTTAAGTCCATGAAGGCTATAGGTGCATTGGTAACTCCGAAAGGCATGACTAAAAACTTATAATGTCCATACCTGGTCTGGAAGGCAGTCTTCTCTATGTCTTCAGCCTTAACTTTCATTTGATGGTATCCTGAACGCAGATCAATTTTTGAAAATACCTGAGCCCCCTGTAACTGATCAAACTAATTGTCAATCCGAGGCAAATGATATTTATTTTTAATGGTTACGTTGTTGAGTTCTCTATAATCAATGCATAGACGGAGTGTCCCATCTTTCTTCTTCACAAACAACACAGGTGCACCCCACGGTGATGTGCTTGGTCGAATGAACCTTTTATCAAGTAATTCCAGCAATTGTACTTTCAGTTCTTTCATTTCAACAGTTGACATTCGGTATAGAGTTTTGGATATGGGTTGAGTACTAGGCATCACATCAATCGCAAATTCAATTTCTCTATCAATTAATTGTCTAGGTAACTCTTCCGTAAACACATCAGAAAATTTTTTCACAATTGGAATATCATCTAAAATAGCATTTGAAGTTTGAGCATTCAAAATACTATACAAATATCCTTGACACCCCTTGTTAATCAGTTTTCGTGCTTTCATGGCAGAAATTAGGTATGGTAGGGGAACTACACCTCTCCCCTCAAAATAAAACTCATCCTGTCCCGGCGGTCGGAATATTACACGTTTAGAAGCACAATCAATGATTACATAATATTTAGACAACCGGTTACCGGTCCATACCCAGAATAATATCAAAGTGAGTCATGTCTAAGGGCAATAAATCAAGATATAATGTAGCATTCTCAAGCAAGATTTCACATGCAGGATAAACAGGTGTGCTGATACATTTTTGTGTCTTCAGCAAGTATCTTCTTGCCAATTGTGTCTCTTTGTCAGAGGGAATCTAATTATTCTTACTTGCAGATTGTGTCTGTCAGTGTGATAGCTGCAAGAAGACAGCTAGCTGTCAGTGTGATTGCTTTGGCTAGCCTGTTGACTGACATGGCAGATTACCCAAATTACATTTCCTTTTGAATGAATTGTCTTTCAATAAACAGGATGAACCTCACATTTAATCTTTAGGTGGATTGGTTCAATAGTAAAATTTTGATTGGCTGAATAGTTGATTATCCATCTGATTATGATTATAAACCTGGTGCATTTTCTTGATGATGCCCTTTTTGGGGATCCTTGAATATATGGAATTTAGGCTTTGTAAACAGTTGTGTTCCATTTGTTTTTTTCATGATCTTGCTTTATATTGGTATTGTCCTTTTCACTCTTCTATAAATTCTAACATTTTTTTTACCAAGAGTTGTTTGCTACCCTTACCTCCTCCAAAGGGGGAGTTGTAGAATTCAAGTCCCAGTTGTGACATGGGTATATATATTTTACTTACTGAGAATAAAAGGAATGAAAGAGAGAAGAAATTGATTTCACTTTCATATTTTTTTGTTCCATTTCTGTGCAGTTTCTTATTGGTGATGGCAAAAACATGTACGATTTCACTTATGTTGAGAATGTGGCACATGCCCATATATGTGCTGAAAGAGCTCTTGCATCAGAGAGGATAGCTGCAGAGAGAGCTGCAGGGCAGGTAATGTTTGGATGCTTTTCAAGTTTTGCTATGGGTTGGAAATTATTTAGTTGAGTCAACCCATTTTTAGCTGCCCAATGTTCTTCCTATTTTTAAAGCAATACATTAATGAAGAGGAACCAAGGGGGTGTGTCTATGAGCCCAATCCAATTTTAAGACTGTTGGTTGTTGCAATAGCAAAGATAAAGCCATGTCACGTCTCGATTTTTAAAGTATTAATTCAGTGGAAACTAATTAACTTAATTTTGATCTTTTAATAAAAAAACTCCTGTTTAATCTGTGTCATTCGCAAAATCCATTTACTTGGCAAATTTTTTTTAGCTTGTCGAAAATTTGATTTACCTCAAAAAATGTGTCCGAAGGCCATTACTATTTTTAATTCGAAAATGTGGTCCATTTTCCCTTATTAATGAAATCATGACTTATAGTGACAAAAGTAACGAATTTCGGGTGGTTTGCATTGGGAAACATGTCCATAATTGTTTTTGAAGAGAATTATTCTTAACTTCAGAAATAATAAACCTTCAGTCAAATGTATAGCTCACTCTCACTAGGCACACATTCCAATAAATGAAAATGCAGTATGCTATAACAATCAGAAAGCGCAGGTTACAGACCATTGAATAATTTACATTTAATCCAACAAACAATAAAATAAATCCATTCTAGTTGCTCATTTATGTGATAACTGATAAGTAATGAAATTAATACATTTTATATAAGAGTTTAACCTTCTAACTGGAAAGTGGTATATATTGCAAGTCATACATCGGTATTTAACCTATTCAGAAGATACATCATATGTTCGAGACATGGAATCTAAAGTTGCTTGTGACATACAAGACACGGGTTCTCAAGTGGCTTTCCAAATGTGGTTTACATGTGAAGCTGTATGTATAACATACAAGATATTTGGGGTAGTGGTCCTCTTTTCTGAATTCTGATCATCCATTGGACATATTTTTTATTAGGAACTAGGCCAAAACATGGCGTGGTCAAGTTTGATATGTACTAGGAAATGTAATTGCATTTTCTAATTCTGAATGAGTGCTTTAATTGCAGGCATATTTTATAACTAATATGGAGCCAATCAAGTTTTGGGAGTTTGTCTCACTTGTTCTTGAAGGTCTTGGTTATGAAAGGTACTCAACTTTCTTTTCCCCCCATACCTTCCATCATGATTGTATTGAGTTGGGTTTTTACCTCTTGAATGTGTCCTCTCCAAACTCTACATTTTACTATCCAAAGCTGCTTTTTGTCTAAGTTGGGTCATTATTTTTTAAAACTTATAACTGCCATGTCAGATTGAGTTCAACTTTGGCAACAATGACCTCCTCCATTAAGTTGTGACAGCTGTCAGTTTTAAGAACTGCTGAACACTAGATGTGCTATTGAACTTTTAGATTTACGCCAGAGTAAGACAAATATGTAACGTTGATTTAAATGTGAATGCCCTATGTATTGGGACATTGGAAAATAAATTTAGCTAGAAAATCATACAAGCAAAGTGTTTTTTTTTTCCTTTTCTTTTCTTTTTTGTTTTACCCTAGATGCAATTGGCATTCCCCCGCAAATCTATTTGATGGTGCTTGTGTGTAAAAATAATGCTTTTACCTATTGATTTAAATTCAGACATTGGTTTTCTTACATGGAGGATTAATGAAGTTATATACATGTTGAGCTTTTGATGTAGGACCAACTGCATAGATACATCATACTGCAAAAGGGTTTTCCCAGGGCTGATTATTATTTTGTTAAGCAGGTAGTGTTCTTTGTTTGGTTTTATGTGGCTAAAGTTTAGTGAAAATATAGGACTAGGGCTTGTACGGGTGTAGAAAAAGGAGAAATATTGTTTGGGCATTTCTGGGTCTGTTAACAAAATCAGCCTATCAGGATTGAGGAAACTGTAAGTAGGGGCTGATTAGAATTTTGTTAGGATGCTAGGGTTGAGTGATTCATGAAAGGTTGGTGCTTGAATGATTGTTTTTCAGAATCTAATGAATAGTTGTTGTGAAATACTAGTCAGTCTCTATTTTAGGGTGTTAAGTAAGCAAGGAAAATGATGTTTGTGGCTGTGAGGAGTTCCACTGAGCTGCAACTAAGGGCTGGTTAGATTTTTCCATGGTGCTAGGGTTGAATAATTGTATATAGAAAGGGGTTTGCTTGAGTGATTGGTTTTCAGAATTAATAAGATGATTGCTGGAGTTAGTAGATGGTGCCTATTTTAGGGTTTTAAATTTAAGAATTTCAGCTTTGGGAGTAGGCTAAGGTTGAAGAATCAATGGAATTATACACTGACTAAAATTTAACTTAAAAATTCTGTTTGCAAATATTAAAGGAGGAAGGAGAAGATACAAAGCATGAAAAAAGTAGGAGATATAGACTTTTGCATTAAGCATGTTTGGGCAATTAGAGTTAATTTGGGTCCTGATTTTATGTTGCTATTGAGTATATTAGGAATAGAGTTGTGGACAGAATTAAAATGCAATAACCACTAAGAACATTCTAGATTTAATAAAGGCTATACTGTACATAATAATTAATGTCCAACAAATAGCTTGACCTATAAGAGGACCCATAAACAATACAATAGTTCATGTCCAGTAAATTTGGAAATTACCAACTGATCATCAGCTACTGAAACCTGAGTACGTGGACCACACCCTGTGGCAAGCCCTTTGGGCCCCACATGTTCAATACTTTACTTACATGGTAGACCTACAAGGCACCACACATTCTAATAGGACTAATTGAGGATGTATGCCTTGCCTAAGCGGGGGCATACATACCACAATAAAGAGTCTAAGGCCAAGTTTGGCATAACCTAAATAATACAAAAAGTCAAAAAGTCACTATCCTATTTAAGTCACATCATCTTATTTAAATCACATCACCTCTCTAACACATCGCATCAAATCCAACCCAAACCTAACCCATATAAGCCAATAAGTCAAAAAGTACACTTTTTTAGAACATTCCAAACCAACCCTAAGTATGAAGAGCCCCAACAACAGGAAGCTCCATGGCCTACCTTAAGCCTATGGTCCTTCATACCTTACTAACTACCGCCCAATAGCAATGAAGTCAGGCCCTTGGCTCGCCTGTGTTCATTGGGCTGCTGAGGATGAGCCCTTGGCTCTCCCAGCATTGAGATGGGCCTTTGGCTAACTCATCCACGCGGTAAGGTCATGGAGCAGGACCTAGGCACCATTGCTTGGGATCACCGGAGGATTATAGATTTGAGGCTAAGGTCATGGTATCGGTAAGGTCTTGCTTAACTGTCTTCTTGCTAAGACAACTCCACCTTAACCAGGCTTAGAGGAGGTGATATGGACCTTAGACTCATGCCTTTGCTGTATACATGATACATTGTCTTCGTACCTGCCAACCTGAACCACATATGGTAGTAGGGCTGATATCAGCCTCTGGTGGAATTGGGAAGAGCTGGCCACCTATGTAACAGGTTGCTTGGGCTTCAATGTTCCAGGAGCTTATACAATGTATCATGTATATGGGCCGGCAAACAAACTCCAATTCTAGTAGACTACACCCAGATGTTGGATTTGGAGTTTGCAGCTCTGCTACCTGCTTGATAAAAGATTGCACACTCTTGTTCCTTCTCTTTATCTGATAGTTGAATCGAATGGTATATACAAGTTTTGAATCCTCTACCTCCTCTTCCTTTGGAGAATAGAAGTTTGCTGCAATCATATGTTTGTTTGAGAGAGAGAAAAACTTAGGGAATAATTAGACAATCATCCCCGTTATATTGATAATAGGTAGCATACAATTAAAGTCTTGGAGGCACAAATAAAGAAATAACAGAATAAGGAAATAACAGCTAATAGAATAATTAATACACAATAACCAAAGATAGTATTCTAACACTCCCCCTTAAGTTGGTACGAAGATATCTCTCATGCCCAGCTTGCCAAACACATCATGGAGTGGTTTGCTTTCAATTCTCTTGGTCAAAATGTTTGCTAATTGTTCAGCTGACTTAACAAAAGGAGTACATATAGTGTCACTGGTGAGTTTCTCCTTAATGAAGTGGCGATCAATCTCCGCATGTTTCGTTCGGTCATGCTGAACTGGATTGTGAACTAAGTTAATAGCAGTCTTATTATCATAGTACAGTCGCATGGAATCAGAATGACTTATCCCCGGATCACTTAGCAGCAACTTGATCCACAAGAGTTCACATATACCTTTTGCTATGGCTCTAAACTCAGCCTGTGCACTAGACCGGGTGATTACATTCTGTTTCTTGCTCCTCAAAGTAACCATATTACCTCAAACAAAGGTACAATAACTAGATGTGGACTTTCTATTAGTTACTGATCCTGCCTAATTAGCATCTATATAAGCTTCCACCCGAAGACGAGAATGGGATAAGTAAATGAGTTTGCCCATTAGTCTCTGAAAACTCTCCCTATCAACAATAGCTCCCCCACTATCATCATTAAGTTTCTGGTTTGGCTCCAGTGGTGTATCACAAGCTTTATTCCTAAGCATCCCAGTTTCTTTTAACAAGTCAAAAACATATTTCCTCTGACAGATGAAAATTCTATCCTTGGACCTGGTAATCTCAATATCTAGGAAATATTTCAGATTTCCCAAGTCTTTTATTTCAAACTCGCTTGCCAAATATTTCTTCAACTGGGGTATTTCCTTACTATCATCTCCTGTAAGCACTTTGTCATCGACATAAACAATGAGAGTTGTAATCTTACTATGTGAGGAATGCTTCACAAACAAAGTGTGATCAGCCTGACCCTGTTTGAAGCCGTATTGGAGCATAGCCTGAGTGAATCTCTCGAACCAAGCCGTTGGAGATTGTTTAAGACCATATAATGACTTCCAAAGCCTGTATACTTTACCCTTTGTCTGATGGTCCTCAAAGCTAGGAGGGATTTTCATATACACCTCTTCTTCTAGTTTATCATTTAAGAAAGCATTTTTTACATCAAACTGATGAAATGACCAATCCAGATTAGCTGCAAGAGAGAGTACTCTGACTGCATTTATCTTAGCCATTGTTGCAAATGTCTCTTGATAGTCTACTTCATAAGTTTGAGTAAAGCCCTTTGCCACTAGTCAAGCCTTGTAACGCTCAATTGAACCTTATGTTTCACAGTATACATCCATTTGCATCTCACAGGTCTTTTGCCCTTAGGAAACTCAGTTAATTCCCAAGTGTCATTGTGGTGAAGGAGTTTGGAAATACTCTTGGATCTTGAAGGACGTTCCTGATCCTCTGAATGCCACCTGAAAATGGGATTAACACTCCGGTCGGGGGTGCCGAAATTAGCACTCCGACGGACAAGTTAGTATATGTCTCTTCTTTGCTTGCGTCTTAAGTTTCTTGAGTCTGTTCTCATAGACCTCTCTTTGGTTGATGTTTCTCTATTTATATTCGCTTCTGGGCCCTAGGGTCGGGCCCACTCTTAGTCCATCGCAAGATTGCTCATTCGGCCCTTCTGTCGTACGCCAATTCCTACTCGGCTCCTTGTTCAACTGGTTCTATGGCCGATTTATCTATTCGGCTTGATGATCCCCCTGGGTGGAGCCATATAACCTATATCCTGATTTTTTCCAAATTCATTTGGCTCTTATACATAAAGATTTATTCGGCTCCCACAATTGCCCCCTAAACATCCTACTAACGCCAGTTAGTCGGCATGTTTGGTTTTGAACTTGGAGAGTCAAAAAATATGGCGGCTTCCCTTATTCCAACGCAAGTGTCAGAACGTTCACGCTTTTTATGAATCATTATAATTTCCCATCCCTTCGTACGCTTCATTCATTTAATGCGATTTGAAACCGTGTTGTCCCTTCGAATGTATGTTTTTTGAATACGCAAAGCTTCTTGGTTGCCTGCCAGTCTGCCTCCTTCATTTCACGACCACTGCAACTTGTCCTCGTTCCTCACTGTCTTCCGTACTTCTTGTAAGTTCTCCTCTTCTCCATTTCGACTCCCCTTTCCTTGTTTGTTTGTTTGTTTGTTTTTTTTTAGTTTAGCGTACTTCCTATCCTGGCTAGGATGGCGAAACATCTGAAAGCCCTTCTTTCTATGGATCGAGTTTCTGGTTTTCGACGCCATATTTCCATTCTCGATGACGTCCATCTGTCACTCGTGGCAGAGAGCGTGATTGACATGGAGAGGACCGATGAGAGTACAATCATCTTTCCTCTTCTGTCCATTGCCGACGACAGAGTTCGTTTCCCCCTTCACCTGTTTTTGAGGGCTGTTCTTCGTCACTGGGGTCTAATCCCTTCTCAGCCTAACATAAATATTTACCGAATCATAATGGGTATTGTAGAACTAAACCGACGGCTTAGGCTCAATCTTGGAATCCCCGCTATTCGGCATTGCTATGCCTTGGCCAAATCCTCTGGCCGACAGGGGCGCTACTTCCTCAGGGCCAAGGACACCGACTATCATTTGGTGACTATGTTTGCCAGCTTTGGCAAGCGTGTTGACGATGTCATGGTCGTTGTCCGAGGCAACTGGGAATTCGGCGAGGGCGAAGATTGCCTAGATCCCGTGCCTAGACAAAAAGGCGAACCAGGTGGCCGCATAGCCCTCCATGTGTATTTGTTATATATTTATCCGGCTTAGATTCTATGTACTTACCGTTTTATTTATGTAGGCAACAATTTGAAGAAAGTTCTGGTCTTGGCCGATGACGCTGTACTTGCGCAAATCAAAACCGCGCTCTAGTTCTTTGGCCGTCCAAACCTCCAAAAACAAGGGAGGGCGGCCCACATACTTTTGAGATACGAGCCAACTTACTCTACGTTTTCGGCCACTCCAAGGGGCAAACAGCAGCTTACAGCACTTATTTTCCCGAACTTCAAAAACCTTAGGCAGATTGGTCTGGAAGCTTCAGATTCAGAGCTGGCGGATGAACAAATAGCCGAACGCTAAGCAGCCGAAGTCCACCCTGGATAGATCCGATAATCTCGGGGAGGAAGTTGACGAGGCTCTAAATTTGGCTTTTGAGGAAGTCGGCCTTAATCCACCCAACCCTCCATCCACTTCGGGCCGAGTGGACGTCTCCTTTGAAGATATTTTTACCGACTTAGGGGACCTTCTCGACGTATATCCTGAGAACATAGCTGGGGAGTCGCTCACGCAAATGGCCAGGAGGAAAAACGCTGAGAGGATGGCCGCCCAGAGGAGAGCTGAGACCAACTAATCTGAACCTCCACCTGTTGCCGTGACTGAGTCATCTCCGCCTACTCCTATGGAAGAAACGGCTCACATTGATACGACTGAAACGGAGCACATTGATGACCAACAAGGCAATCAGGAGGCCGAGAAGAGGGGGGAAAAGCGTCTTGCCGAGCACGAAGTTGACTCTGCAGAAAACCTAACCGATAAACAGCCGCGCGTAGAGGATTTGTTCGGCAGCATCTGCAGTCTGGCTCTATCTCACTCCCTTTTGTCACCTTGACTCTACAACTGACTGATTTCTTTACCAAGACTTACACCACTGTTCCGTTTCAATTTCTTCTTGTCAAACTCTCAATGTTTTCTGGTAAAACATCTTCAGTTTGAGCAGGGTTTGAGAATATATTGTGTATATATTGTATATATTAAGAAAGATTTTGTGGAGTAAATATTCCTATTGATTGTATTTTCTTTTTCACTCATAGGTCTAGGGTTCCCTTCGTAGATCTAATACAATGGAATCGTATAATATTTGAAAATTAATGCACATATACAAACATACTGACTGAAATCTATAAATCGAATAGGAGAAAGGAGATGATGCTTTTCAGATAACAATGGAATATACATTGTTATTCTGAATTCTTACAATGGGAACTTACAGTGACTTGGCAAGTTACTATTTTGTGTAATTTACATCTTTTTGTCTGCTTCCTAGTGATCTGGTTGTTCAGGTTATTATTTATTGTGCTTTTGGCGTGGTCCAACTCGTACGATTTAGATAATAAGCCTCCTTGTATTAAGTTGTTTATCCCTGAAATCTCTGTTTTCAAAAGAGGAAAATAGGATTCTTTATCTGTTCTCGTGGAAAAAGAATGCAAACTTTTGTGTTATGTTCGTTGTGTGTGTTGATATACAATCCAAAAAGCCCTACATCTTTTGCTTCTCCATATTTCTTCTTACATATGGAGGCAGGGATCATATGATGTGTAATTTACAATGCCTATTATTTCTAATTTCATTTAGTTTGCAGGCCAAGAATTAAGATTCCAGTCTATGTTGTTATGCCAATTGCGCATCTGGTCGAGCGGACTTATAAGCTATTAGCCCCATACGGTATGAAGGTTCCACAATTCACACCATCAAGAATCAGACTTCTCTCTTGCAGCAGAACATTTAATTGTTCAAAAGCAAATGATAGACTTGGCTACACTCCTATTGTACCATTGCAGGTCTCTTCATAAACCGTGAAATGAGTGACATTTACTTTTGAATTTTTCTAACATGAAGTTGTAGAATATACTAGTGATTTCTCTGAATGATTTAATCCTAGTTTGGTTGCTTTTGTGGGATTTTTTAGACTTGCAAATACACACTAAAGTTCTCCATATAGGTTGTATTGTATCATTTTTGGTGAACATCTGTCAATTGCGGACCTTTGTTTCAGCGCTAAATTTCTTGAGTCTTATTAATCTGAACCTAGTGATGATTAACTCTTAGATGGGGAGTTGCTTAATAAAATGTAGGGCAAATTTCACTTCTCCCCCTTGTGGTTTGGCCAATATGCAGATCACCTTTTTGTCATTTGAAAATAACCACATAACCTCCATGTGGTTTATGGACTAAAGCACACAGTTACATTTTTCGTCCTAGTAACCGGAGGTGCAATTCACATGCCATTGTTGAGACTAGGTGTGAATAAAATGATTTTTCATACAAAAATAGCACCTATAAATTTATAGAAAAACCCTCATCTTCTACATTCACAGACAGCACTGTCTCACTCTCCAAAACTAATGCACAACTTCCTTTGAAACCAACCACCAAAGGACGAACCAACAAATCCCATTGGAATTAAAAACCAATGAACAGATTGCAATGAACTCAATGTGTAATTGGCTTGAAAATAATGGGCTCAATAGGCTTGGGTCGATCCGACAGACTTGATTCGTTGTCCAAGTATGATTTTGCACACAACCTGAAGAATCTTCTTTGTGTATTTATATAAATAGACACGCCATATATAACAAAGAAAAAATAAATCCAAACTTCAACCAATGGTATTTTGCTAGGAGGCATGGACACGAATACGCGGCATGACACGAACACGACACAGATACGCCAACAACAATTTTCAAAAAATGTAGGACACAACACGTGGGGGACACACATAAAATATATTATTTTAAAAATATGAATATATCATTGACAGATAATAAAAAAATACAATATAACGCTAATTTCAATAAATTTACATTGTTTTTCTTTTAGCATTGTCTCCTGAAGTTATTTTGTTCAAACTTATAATTAGTTACGTGTGCCTAATCGATGGATACGTATGTTCAAGTGATGGACATGTGTGTCCTCCAAGTGTCTGGGTCTTAAACATTCTTTAAAAAATAGGACATGTTTTGACGAGTGTCGAACACGTGTCCGATGAGTGTCGGTGTTCAACACGGACATGACACGGACACGCTACCTTTTATGAAGTGTTTGTGCTTCTTACATGTCTTTATATTTGAGAAAAGATTTATGAAGCATATAGCTTCCATTGATCCATCAAAACCCTATCGATACAGCGAAAACATAATTGTATATTTGTGACAGTTTGTCGTAGTTTGGATGGAGTTTGCTACAATTGGGAACCATGAAAGAAAAAAGGGAGAAAATATGTACATGTAGGTTTAATTCTGAAGCGAGGAGATCAATTCAAATGTTTAGTTAATAGAAGTTAGTGTGTGTCCACGAACCACACGAGTGTTATGTAGTTATTTCCAAATGACGAGGTGATTTGCACATGAGTCAAACCATAAGGAGATAAAGTGAAATTTGTCATAAAATTTATTGATAAGGGATGGTGAATGTTGCCATGTTTAAGTGGCCATGAAAGTGTTTTTCCTATATTTACTTTGATTAGATTATTTGTGACATGCACCATTTCGTGAGTAACATAGACACATCGACACGATGATTTTCAAAAAATGTCGATATGCCTGTTACATATTAAAAATGTGTATATTTTTATATTTATTATCGTAAACATATGAATATTTTATTCAGAAGTAATGAAAAAAAAGCTACATAACACTAATTAAAATTGAAAAGTCATATATTCCATAACTTAAACATTAAAATATCATTCATGTAACAATCACATTCTAAAGAATGCAAAGCAATTATAGAATATTGAAATACGTATGATGTATTCATTTCATAAATATTTTAAAATATATTTAGAGTGCCCAAGTTGCATTATGAAAATACAGAATATTTTTAATATGAAAAATTGCATCACATAGGTCTTGTTTGGAGGGTTCAAAAAGTGGCACCGAAGTGTCTATTAAATGTCTGATATTATGAATCTAAAATTTTAGTTAAGACGCGTTCAAGAAGTATCGGACATGCTTTTGGGAGTGTCTGTGGAGTGTTGGGGTCCGACATGACACGCCTCCATAGAAGTGTCCGTGCTTAGACCATTTCGCACAAATACAATATAGTTGTAAATGGATAACATTGATGAGTGAGCACATCAAGGAAAAGTCAGTCTAAATATACCTAGCGCATTTATACCTCATAGTATGATTAATGTTCTTTGTGATTATGTTTCATTTTCTGCAGGAGGGTCTAAGGAGGACAATTGAATCATACTCACATTTGAGGGCTGAATGTCGACCTAAAAAGGATGGTCCATCAAAAGCTTCCATATATCTTGGAAGAGGAAGGGGTAAAGTGTTGATTCCTGTCTTCTCTAAAACTGCCACATTTATTCTTGTCTTGGTGTATGTCCAAGCGCTGTTGGTATCGTAAATGCATTTGCCATTTTTTTTGTGTGCAGAATGCAGGCCTATGTATTTAGTTGTTACATACATATTCTACTGACATAATCAATTATCATAGTGGTTGTGATGCAAACTATAATTCTGGTACCTTAGAAGCATTCTCAATGAAAATCCCTTGCAAATTGTAACCATTCAGTTGGTCGCTCTCCCTTGTATTGCCATAACCCACTATTGGTTTTTTGATCAACAAAAATGAAAACTTTATTAATGAACCACGAGAAGCCGTAACCCACTATTGTTATGGCAGGCTTCTTGACTTTGTAGGTAAACTTTGATGGTTGCATATGTGATTTAGGTTACCATGTTGAAATATTGACCCCTCAACTTTCATTGTCTTATTTGAGAGGTTGACATATGTTGCTTGGACACTTCCAAAGAACTAAAGCTTTCAGGGCAAGTGGTTCTCTAATTTGGTGTCAAAGCCTAAGCTTTGATCTTGGGAGGTATTTAGCTCAAGTTGGTTACGAAGTATCTCCCAATAAAACTGCCTTTTTTTTAAAAATTTTTAAATTTCAAATTTGATTGACTTTCAAAACAATCCCTAATATGTTACATATATGAGGTAGGAGTACTATCACATTCTAAATACCTCCTTGTTATTTTGTTAGTCTTGTATATTCAATTTCGAAAAGTCCACATGTTTTCTGCAGCATCTGGAGCAGTGGGCACCTGTCTCAATGATAATTGTTCACTTTTCTTTGAAGTGCCTTACAAAGTCAAGTATATCACATGTCAAAACCAGTTTTTATTTTCCTTGTACATTATTTGCCTCCTTATGTGTCTACAGGGCCCCCCACCAGTTGATTGATCTAGATGTCTAAGCAGGTTTACTTGGTTCCATGTGTTGATACTGTTTAGTCACCAATTGTCCAAAAAAACTTAGGCTGTTAGGTAATGAGCGTAACAGTGTATGTCAAACTTTCAACATCCTCCCTCACGTTCAACCTTGTCTTGCACACGGAGATGCAGACATCCATATCCATAGAAAGAAGAAATAATGCAAATGAGAGAAGAAAGAATACAAATAGGGACTAAATGCAAATGGAGAGATGTGATCTGCCCTAAATTGAGCTCGGATACCATGTTAAGTCATCAATTGTACCAAAAGCTTAAGTTGTTAGGAAACGTGTTCAACAATGTATATCAAGCTATTCAACTGATACCGCATGACCAATAGCATACCTACCCCAACTGGGTTTGGTCAATATTCATGATTGGTCCCTCAGACTAAGAAGACGAATTTGACATTGGGTCATGGAGTATAAATGTCAAGATGAGATCCTATCATGAAATAGGTTGAAATCCTGGTTATGATACTGTCCATAAATCTGACCCCAAAATTGGTGAGATCATAAAGCTTGTTTCTATCTTTGTTCAACTACTTCTTTGGCATTAAACTGGATTGAAGGTTGCAGTTGCGTTGAACATGCACACATGAATATTGAACTTGGATGTTAATATTGTTTAAGATGATGACTTATTTGCTGCTGTTTTATGTTGCAGTTGCTGACATACTTCTCTGGAGGGATAAAAGGCAGACGCTTACCACAATATTCATTCTTGTTGCAATTTACTTTAGCTTCATAGCACCAGGACATACCATCATTACTGCAGTTTCAAAGTTTCTCCTTGTGGCATCTGTTTTTCTGTTCATCCATGGCATTCTACCTGAGAAAATGTAAGCATGCTATTCTATTTAAACTTTAATAGATCATCACTGCTATTTTACTTGAGCAAAAGTTAGCACTCCCATAAGAATAAACATCTTAGCTTAGTCTGGGTATTATTGGCAAGAAAATCATTGCTTATGCTTATGGCCTCAAGAGCTAGTAGATGTGATGCTTCTGAGTTATCCAGCTTGTGTATTCTGCGGGCTTATCCGATTGGTTTTCCAATTGCAAAATCTTAACATTATGATATGGTTCAATAGTGGTTGATAGAAAGTGTCTTCAAGAAAGCTAACTCGTATCTAAATGAAATATTTTTCTGTTGCAGATTGGGATATAAAATTGAGAAAGTTTCTCGATCAAATTTCCATTTCTCAGAAGAGATGTCACGCCAAGTCGCTCTGTCAGTGGCTGCGTCATGGAATTCTGCAGTAAATGATTTAAAATCTCTTTGCAAAGGGAATGACTGGACCCTATTCCTCAAGGTGTTTATCTCCGTAGCTTGTCTTGCCCTTATTTTGGCATGCTTGTAGAAGTAAAGTTTCGATTTGCATGCACAGAGCACTGTTATACTAAAGTTTCTCATTTTTATTTTATTTTTCTAAAATTTATATTTATTCTGCTATTCTGAAATTCAGTGATAGTAATGTTGTTGGATGTATTTGAGCTGCAAGAGTTAATTAAGTGGCACTGAAAATATTGCCAGCTTTCATTGTAGGAAACAATTTATTATGATATGGTTCAATAGTGGTTGATAGAAAGTGTCTTCAAGAAAGCTAACTCGTATCTAAATGAAATATTTTTCTGTTGCAGATTGGGATATAAAATTGAGAAAGTTTCTCGATCAAATTTCCATTTCTCAGAAGAGATGTCACGCCAAGTCGCTCTGTCAGTGGCTGCGTCATGGAATTCTGCAGTAAATGATTTAAAATCTCTTTGCAAAGGGAATGACTGGACCCTATTCCTCAAGGTGTTTATCTCCTTAGCTTGTCTTGCCCTTATTTTGGCATGCTTGTAGAAGTAAAGTTTCGATTTACATGCACGAGCACTGTTATGCTAAAGTTTCTCATTTTTATTTTATTTTTTTAAAATTTATATTTATTCTGCTATTCTGAAATTCAGTTGATAGTAATGTTGTTGGATGTATTTGAGCTGCAAGAGTTAATTAAGTGGCACTGAAAATATTACCAGTTTTCATTGTAGGAAACAATTTAACTGTTAACTGATTACCAGATAGCCATTTTATTAGTTGGCAATCTATTTTGGATAGGATGACTATGGAAGCCTGGTGTTACCCCACTCTGGTACCTTTTGGTTTAAAAAAAAAAAAAGCTCTGGAAAAGCAACACATTAGCAAATGAATGAACTGCTTGTGTAAAAGAAATTTTTTCAAATATATAACAAGATAATTCAATGGTCATAAAAGCAGAACCAAGGAATTTTGTAACAGAGAACCTTGCATTGGTTTTTCTTTGTTGCTTTCCTGGTTTGCTTAGTGCTCTTTGTGGACTTTTTGGGTAATTGATGGTGACTGAAAGCTTAATGTCGTCTTCTAGCAAGTGCTTTATGTACACAAGCCGGACATTCATTTGAGTGAACTTCTTGTTGCTTTCATCCAATTATTGCTCTTGATTGGCCTTTAGATTATATTGTAATTAGATACAAATGAAATTAATGTGTTCTAACTAAATTGCAACAAGATCAATGCACCCTGTTAACCAGTGGGGATGGATTTGTATTTTTAATTAACTGCAGCGTGAACAAGTTTTATTTTTGACATTCACAGTCAAATGGGACAAATGTTGATTGTGTTCTATAGAACCAGATGTTTCAAGTAAATGATATGGAATGAAAGTGCGTTCACTAATGCAATACTGACTCTAGATAAAATGGAGAAGTACTCCACAGTGATGTGGAATTAAATAGAAGATAAAAGGGTTATCCTTGGATGGATGATGGAGATATGGAGAATCTAAAGGAAATCATTCAAATAGGCTGAAAGACCTTTGATTTGCTAAGATGAAGGGGATCGCTTCGTCATGGCGTAGGGGTACTCAAAGAGCCACCAATCTGTCTGACCAGGAAGCATATGGTTGTGTACTCAGCTTCAGAAGCTAGAGGAATGGAGCTTTGGTTCACAGTTCTTCGGTATGTTCAGAGGTGTGAATTGAATCATAGTGGGAAAGCCAAAACAACTAGAGGTGGGGGAAGATTCTTTGACGTGGTGGTAGAGGGGAGGAATAAGGGATAAAGAAGAGATTGAGAATTCCTTTCATCGAGAACAAGGGAGGGTGGGGATTATTAGTCGAAGTCTTGGTAAGTTTATGGCTTTAGTGAAGAAGGGGTTGGGAAAGGTAGAGATTTTCTAAATTCAGATAAGAGGGGTGGATGTTTGGGGGAGGTGTAGCCCTTATCTTGTGGGGGAATATGTTGTTTCCTTAGTAGATGCTTGGATGAAAGGGTGGGTGGTTTGGGAGAGCCACTGAAATTCCGAGAGCTATAGATATGAGCAATTAATGTTTGGGGCGTTGCTAGATGAAGTTACGGTTTGAGAAATGGTTGATTTTCATTTCTTGTTTCTCTCACCCGAAGAAGCTAGAAGAGTTCTATCAAAGGTAATGGGGTGTTTTCAAATGTTCGGGGGAGGTGTAGCCTTGATCTTGTGTGGGAATAGGTTGTTTCCTTAGTAGATGCTTGGTGGGAAGAGTAGGTGGTTGGGTATAGTCACTGAAAGTTTTAGAGCTGCAGATATTTGATGGTTCGGTACCGATGGTACAGGCATTGGGGGTGGGGGTGGGGGTTGGGGTTTAGTTGAAGGTAGGGTTTAGGAATGGTTGATATTCATTTCCTGTTTATCTCTCCAATTTTGGAGAGGCTAGAAAAGTTTTGTCAAAATAATGCGGCCTTTCTAGAATAGGCCACTGATGATGGTGAGCATTAGGTGGGGTTAAACTCAAAAAGGAAATGTCAAAATCTCCATGTATATAAGAGAAGTGGGCATCAGGAGGGGTAGAGATCGTGATGTGTGGGTTTTACATTTGGAAGGAGGGTGGAAGAGTGGAGGTCATTGGCTCAGAGATGGAGAGTTGTAGACACGTAGGTGGTAGAGGAAAGTGTTGAGAAATTTGAATTCAAACAAAAGTGGTTACAATTGTTGGGAGGCGGGAAGGTGGCATGACCATGTGAAGCCAAGGGGGGCTAGATTAAGGTAACTAGATTGGAGTTTAGGAGGGGGATAATTTTAATTGGGATCTTAGGCAAGGATCAGGGCTGGATCAGTGCACTTGTGAGCTAAAGAGGAATGTTGGCTAGAGAAGGTCTATTGGTGTCGAAAAGGGTTAATCATTATTATAGGGGTATGGTTGTGAGAATATTACGTTTCATGTATATATGGTAGTTTATATATTATGTATATATTAGGGATTTTGTTTTCTTTTTTCAGTTCTAGGGTTAACTTGATATATAAACCAATGTATTCTTATATTGTACACACAATTGAATATACAAGTTTATTCAGAAACTTACATGGTATCAGAGCTGTCTCTGAGCCAAAATCCTAGAAGTCGACAGCTTTTTCTCCTTCTGTGTTTGTCTGGTTTGACTACAGGCTTTTTTCGTGGTTCCCTCTTGTTCACAACACTCAGCCTCTGCCTCGCGAACCATTTGCGTCTGACTACCTCTGCCTCGTGACTCATCTGAGTTCGATTCTGCCTCTGCTTCATGCCCTCTGGTTTTCTGGTTTGTGATCAGTTATAGTCGTGACACATCTAGTCGTCATCCTCTCAGTTCCTTAGGGTTTAACTCATATGAGTTTTGATTTCGCCTTCGTCGCAATCGACCTTGCTAGTTCTTTCTCGCTTCAGTTTGTGAGGACCATCTCCCTCTCTACCTAGACTTTGACGATCGAAGAGGTGTCTGTCTCTGGTTTGCTCGATTTCAACTTCGACTTTGCATTCTGGTCCTGTCTCTCAACTTCAGTCTCCTTCAGTCTCTGGTTCTTGATTTGTTCAGTGGTTCTCATTTTCTAGGTATTATCCTTTGCCCCACCAATCCTCTTATTTGTCTCTGGTTCATACCAATGTCAAATGCTACGAGTGCTACGCCTAAAAATAGGCCACTGGCTTCAGCTTAGTGTGCTTTCTACCATTAGAAAGGCCATTGGAAATATCATTGTCCCAAAAAGGGATGTCTGTCTGCTTCGTCAGTGTCTGCCTCATCTTCTCAGCTGTTTCCGATCTAGTTCTGTCCCTCCTCTGAGTACCGTTTGGCCTCTCGCCGGTTCTATTGCATCTGCTCCGGCTCCTGATCCTAATTTGGCTTCCTTGAGTGCTCAGATTAGTCAGCTTCAACATATACTGTCTATCTCCCCGCCATCCACGTCTGTCTCCATTGTTTCCTCTCTTTATTCAGGTTTGCTTAGGTCTTCTTCAGGTATCTCTTTGTCTATTTGGATTTTTGACTCTGGTGTCTCTCATCATATGATTCTCCATCTCTTTTTACTTCAAAATTATACTCCCCTCCCTTTCCTATTATTGTTAATGCTACTAATAGGTCTAGTATGTCTGTTATATCTGTTGGGTCTTTGTTATCGTCTGCTATCTCTATTCCATCTGTCCTTTATGTTTCTTAGTTATCTGTCAGTTTATTATCTATCAGTCAGTTTGATGCCTCCAGTTTTGATGTTATCTTTTCTTCTTCTATCTGTTCTGTGCAGGATCGGATGTCCAAGTAGCAGATTGGGACTGGCTGTAGAGTTGAAGACCTCTATGTGGTTAAGAGCTTGCATGCCTATGGCAACCTTTCTATTTGCCTTGTCCTCTTTTTAGTTAGATTCTCCGTCCAGTTCTTTCTACTTGTGGCATTCTAGATTAGGGCATTTGTCTGCTGACCGCTTATGGTCTTTAGCTCAATCAAGTATATTAGGTAAAGTTTCTCCTAGTGAACTTATTGAATGTCGGGGGTGTAAACTTGTCAAAAAGACGACCTTACCTTTCCGTAAAAGTACTTTTATATCTGATACACCGTTTTCTTTAGTTCATATTGATGTTTGGGGCCCTTTTCCTGCTCTCACCAAAGGGGATTCTGCATATTATGTGTCATTTGTTGACGACTGCACCTGTTATACTTGGCTTATCTTATGACTCATAAGTCCGATTTCTATCAGATATACCGTACCTTTCAGTCTATGATTACTACTCAGTTTGGGTCTACAATTAAAGTATTACGGTTTGATTTGGGTGAGGAATATTTAAAAAATGAATTCTGAGTATTTGGCTAATTTGGGTACCATTCACCAAACTCCTGTATAGATACACCTGCACGAAAAGGTCGAGCCAAGCGTAAATACCGTTATCTCCTTGAGACAACTAGGTCTCTTCTTCTCTTTGCCTCAGTTCCGGCTCCGTTTTGGGGGGAGACAGTTCTTACGGTTGCTTTTCTTCTCAACCGCATGCTTACTCTCCTTATTTCTGGTCGGTCTTCTTAT